ATGATAACGAGTCAGTGTGAAAGCTTCTTTGGTAAAAATTGAACTAAGTGAGATATTTTTGATGACTGCCAGCCAAAATTAATCTCAAGCACACCTATTTCAGCCAGATTATTTCATTCTGTGAACTGCAACATGCGCCACAAGTTGTATGACTAGTGTACCAGATATATCCAGATTTCTATTGAAACGTAGTGTTAGACTGCTTTACTGATTATGATTCACACAATGTCAAAACATTTTAATTCAGTATCACTATTCATAACCCTAGTGATTACACAATAAAGGAAAGTACGCTGATATTCGATTAACCAGGTAAGTTTGCATACATGGAACAGCTATGTTGGACAGGAGAAGATAATAGTAAACTAACTACAATGGAAATCCAAAGATTTAAATTCGACAGTTTACGTGTAGGCATCTTATGTATTTGGGAACAGTGCAGTGTGGAAGAAATTATTGCAAACAAAGGTGATAATGTAAACAAATAACTCGGTTACACGAATATTCAACCACACGCTTGCATGTAAATAATTGCTGAATTGGGCTCATTATTTCAGAAATACGAAGTTGTCGTGTAATAAGGGCTTGTTAAACAGATAGAGGCTAATATTATTCATAGGGACTATCTTTTTCATTATTTTGAAGCTTTATATTTACTTCTGTCCCCAACTAAATAGTGAAATAATCAAACTGTTGGCTGAAAACACATGCTCAACATACCGCAGAAGAGGTAAATCTAAAACACTTTTGCAATTACAGCTTTACATAAACCACAACTCTTTACAAAATCAACCAAACTGATTCATAAAACACAGTGCCTCCTGCTCTATTTACCTCAATTCTACTGACTTGGTCGTGGCGAATATTATCCTTACACAATGAGACGTAAGTGGTAATAGTCAACAAAATTACAATATTAGTTTATACATACTTCAAACTGCAAGAATTAATACATAGGGACTGAGCCCCAGTACACAGTAGGGCTGTAGTTAGATGATCAGCAGAAGACACCGCACTCTGTTATATGTTGACATCAACTGATATATACTCTATGATCATAAATACAGAAACTCTTGCGTCGTTCTTTTAGGTAATCTTCGCAGCGGTTGTCAGACAAGTGGTATGCACAGACAAAACTCGCTGTAATATTAGAACCAACATGAGGTTGTCTTGGGTGGTTTTGTGTTACGAGCACTATGAAATAACCTAACTGGCTATTTAATGAAATACGGTATAACTATCTGCCATTGATGTTCCTGTCGATTTCAAGGATGCCTATCAATCAACTTTGACCTCAACCGCGAGCTAAACAGTTTGCTTGAGGTAATACAATGACTATTCGGTCAAACTAATGATAAGGTATGAGAGGGTTGCGTACACTCTAGGTGGTAACCTGTCGTGAAAGACTTGCCACAGGGCCTGGTCCGAATCCTATCTACAATCTTAGTAATACATATTGTCGGACCACCTAAAACACTTGACTCATACTAGCACTTGATATCATGCTTCAAACAGCAACGAACTGAAACCTTAATAAATTAGTCCTACGAAACAATCCAGACGAACTGAATGATATACTCAGTGGGAACCATACTGATTACAAAATTTATGAAGCAATGTATCGACGTCTAACGCAAATCGCACCAATCATATAACAAACTTATGTAGCACACTGGGTCTGGACATCCAACAAGTAAAACTGTGCAGATTGTATAGATGCACTGCTGCTCCTCAAGGCAAACCATCCCCACTGAGGGTAACACTAGGCTCTACCGAAGATGCCGAAAAAGTTTTATTGACTTGCCAAGTCATTTCTATAGGGAGGACCTGCAATTTACGTGTTAGGCCAGATAGGCCATGGAAGGAAAGACAGATGGCGAGGGAGTCGCCAGAGCTTATTCCTTCTGCCTCCATGGTTGTTCACGGCATTCCCGAACTGGTAACTGTGAACGCTTGTGAGAAGCACTGTCACGATGTACAGCAATGGAGATGGTTGGCATCCCAGATGGCTCTGGGAAGTTCAGGGGCTGTCTCTATTTTTAGACTGCCTCGACCCACTCGCCTAATGTCAATTAACACTCCACGTCTGTTAGCTGTTAAGTTCAGCTCCCGAGACCACTTGAATACTGCTCTCCAGAGATGGTACGAGACCAAGGACAAGGTCAGCAGACACATTCGCTGCTGCGAGAGCCGGCCTCGTACCCAAAGGAGAGAACAAAACGTTGTCAAAGAACATCCCCAACCCCTAGTCACAATACAGCAGTGCAGCACGGACGATGATAGCCAGTGTCATCCAAGTGCTCCGATTGAATCAGAAGAAAAAAACGCCAACAGGCCGGTTCCCGGGGAATCGGCCAACTAGTTCGTAGGATAACTCCTCAACCGACAGCCCACACCACGTCAACCACCCCCCAATACGGGGACGTGGTGAGACTGACTACCAGTTGCCTGTACAGTAATGTGAGAGGTCTAAGAGGTAAAATAGCTGAACTTAGATACCTACAATCACAGCTGAACTCCAAAATCATAATGCTGACGGAAACCTGGCCAACCCCTACGGTGGCAGACAGCGAAGTCAGTATAAATGATATGGTCCTAGGCAGGCGAGATAGGGATCTGAAAGGAGATGGAGTCGCCATATACGTCGACAAACAGCTCAGATGTGTCCATGCAATCGACCCTCCCCTCATTGAGCTCCCTGACTCCATATGGTGCCATTTCACCGTTGGGTACTGTAAGTATCTAGTGGGCAGCATTTACAGATCACCTTCATGTGGAGCAGACCACAACCAGGTACTGCTGAATGCAATTTCAGCGACACAAGACATGGGTTATGATCAAATTGTCATAGCTGGAGACTTCAATGCCCCATCTCTTAACTTGATGACGGGATATGCCCAGGACAGATTTGATCGAAATCTGCTGCATACCATCGGGGAGGCCGGATTCACTGAAAATGTCAGAATGGATACTAGATGGGGCCCAGATGGGAAGTCTTCTAGACTGGATTACGTGCTCACTAGTGACCAGCTACTAGTGGAAAACGTTCAGATCACGACTCCCATAGGTAGTAGTGACCACGCGGTCATAACATTCGACATAGTCCTCCGCGGGCGTTTACAGTGGGACAATACACAGCCCTATCTGTGTTATAACAAAGCCAATTACACCGAAATGCGAAAACTTTTGTCTGAAGCAAATTGGCCAAAAACTTGGACAGAGCTCACAATAGAAGAACACTGGGGAGTGGTAAAGGAGATCATTCACCAGGCGGTCTCAGACAATGTTCCTTTAGTCACACCAAAAGCTAGAAAGTAACGTTCATGGCTAAAAAGGGGGACACAACGCCTTCTACAGGCGAAGCGAAAAGCCTGGTTTGCGTAGCGAGTATCGAAGATTCAACCCGAACATGAAGTGTACCTCGAACTCAGGAATCGATGTAACATACGAGTTCGGAGTGATAGAAGGACATTTCAGAGAAACCTCGCCAATAAGCTTCTCGTGTCTGAAAGAAAACCGACCAACCAGGGAGCTTGCAATCTAGTGGGTTCTGATGGGAAATCTCTCACTAGTCTTGAAATGGCAGAGACATTCAGTCTAGCCTTTCACAGGCAGCTGAACAGTAACGAGGATTTTACCCCCACAAAACATCAAGATTACAATGCAAGACCAACGTGCGAAAACCTGCTGGGTACATTTTAAATTACCCCGGCTATGGTACTCGTAAAATTGGGAAAGTTGGCTTCGGGAAAGTCTGCAGGTTGCGATGACATAAGACCATCCGTCCTGAAGCAGTGTTCAGAAAGTCTCTGCCAACCCCTAAGTGATCTGTTTCAACACTCCTTTGATGTAGGGAAACTTCCATGTGAATGGAAACGAGCCATCCTATCCCCTATCTTCAAGGGTGGTGACCGGCAGAACGCGACCAGTTACAGACCAGTTGCGCTACTCCCAGTGATATCGAAGATGTTGGAAAGTCTCATTGACGACCACATGAGGAAATACTTCGACGGGACTAACCTACTCCATGAAGCACAGCACGGTTTCAGGAGGGGAAGATCCTGTGTGACGAATCTTCTACTAGCTTGGAACGATTGGACACTATCCTGGGATGTAAAGGTACCAATCCATGTGATCTCTCTCGACTTTGCGAAAGCATTCGACACAGTTCACCATGGTCTGCTCCTTCACAAAATAAGCAAAGCGGGTGTTTCTGGAGCACTTCTCGCATGGCTGGAAGATTATTTAGGCGAGAGAGAATTCTGCACCAAAGTCAACCGCATCCGATCATCCTGGCACACCTCAGCATCAGGGGTTCCTCAGGGTTCTATCTTAGGGCCGTTGATGTTTTTGATTTTTATCAACGACCTGCCCTGTCAACTGAACTGCTTTGCGCTTCTTAAGGCTGACGACGTAAAGATTTGGAGAGCAATAAACTCATCGGAAGACTCCGACAGATTGCAGGCTGATCTGCAAACTCTGGGAGACTGGGCACTGGCTAACGGAATGCCTTTCAACCTAAAGAAGTGCAAAGTAGTGCAACTTCATTACATGCAAATTACACCCTTGGTGGCCAGAACTTGAGTTGTGTGCCATCAGAACGCGACCTAGGCCTTATTTTAACAGAAAAGCTAGACACCAGTGTAAATTACACTGGGGACGTTGCCAAAGCATGATTTTGCAAAACAAATGTCAAGTCAGTGCATTATTTGATTCAGATTTTTGACACGCTCATCATCAGAAGCAATTTTTATCAACACTACACCTTGTAGTAACTGACATCCTAACAACAAATCTCGCAAGTTAATAACCTGGCCATCCACCACAAGTGCTAATCCTATTCACCACAGATGAGTGCGAATTGAATTTCCAGGCTTCCAAATCAAATACACCCAAGGTTTCAACATCCCGAAATATTGACTAATTTCTATGCGATTTCTAAATTATTCGGCTGTCAGTGATTATTTTAGAGATTATGGTGTATGTATATGCGTCCGAACCATGGTGACAACAGGACTTTCGCAATATCGAAGGATAATGGAGTTCAAGTGACAAGTTTCAGATGTCAAGGCATATGTTGGACGGATATTGAACCCGCACAATTCGCACTAACTAACATATCATATCAGGTACATATTTAAACCAACCAGAAATGAATTCCAATAAACAGGACTCCGGGCATTATACGTATATGTTATGAAAGCAGATGCTTGACACAGTCCAAATGATATTAGACGACTTACATAGGATTCACAGTGCAACATCTAACGAGTACATTCGTATTGAAAAAATTTTCCTCAGAGTAAAGTATATTACTAAAACATATTAGGCTCTAGGCCTTTCCTTCTTGTGAGTATACAATGCTTTCAAAGAGACACCTGCAACTTTGACAATTTTGAATCGGACACCTGGGATATCACCAACGGCATGACCCTTTCGACCGAAACCGGAAACCAAAACCTCGTCGTTCTCTTCAATGAAGTTGAGACAACCATCGTTGGGGACGAAAGCTGTGATTTTCTTTCCATTCTTCAATAGCTGTACACGCACGCATTTGCGTACAGCGGAATTAGGTTGTTTTGCCTCAACACCGACCTGGAAGAATATCTAACGGTAAAATAGGACCTACCTTTTCAAGCACAACACCTTTGGCATGCGAGGCACCTTTAAATGGATTAGCTTTCCATCTAGTCCCAAGATGGGCTTTCTTGTACGCCTTGTCTGACCATCTTTGAGTTCGGCGGTGATCTCGAAGTTTGCGGGCAGTCTTAAGACCTGATGGCTTCCCTGCAGGCATCTTGATCAGTCACCCGATGAACACGAGGTTAGTGTGCCGCCAAAATGCCGAGCATTAAAACAACATTCAATATCCTGTAGTGAACACGCTACTTTGTAAAACACTGTAGTTAAATAATTTATAACCATACAGGAACATATTTTATAGCCTCTTGATAGTATTATTTCAGTTGCTTTATTCTCTGTTATTTGAAAAATGACTTATTTCCCAAGAATGTGAAATAAAAACCCACTGATCCCTAAAGCGTGTCCGGCACAGTAACTATTGACTCCCATCATTTGAGCTCATAAAAGTCTTTTGAAATGAACAGTATATTTTGACATAACTCCCCAAGCTTCCTGTCCACTGATTATGAATCTCAACCCTCTCAACTAATGAACTTGTGACAAAAAACAAATTTTGGATATCTAAGTACAGAAATAATTACATTGCATTAACAGGAAATATATAATCGATACTACCAAAATAAAGTATTCACATGATGACATGAAAGCGTTAGTTACAGTCCGTTTCTGAATTGATATTTTCGGCCTTAGCTGTTTCAGCTGCTTAACTGGATATCACTCGAACTTCGAATATATGATTTTGAAAAAGTTTTTCACTCATCTTTGGTGAAGTAAACCGATTAATCTTGATTCTGTGCAATTTTTTCACGATCTTCATTCACGACATCAGTTTCACGTACACTGTTGCCCCATTTGTCAAGAATTTTCGGTATTACTGAGATCCTTGTCTATCATCCTTGACGCAGAAAGTGTTATCCATACACACCAACTAGTATGGCTGAGTTTCTGAAGGTATTGGATATGCATATTGCCCTGTTAGTTTCTGTCTTATTTCTAAGAGAGTGTGTTGTACAATCCTTTATAACGTCCTGTGTTCAAAACCATTTTTCATCCTATTACTTGACAGGATTACTCAACAAAATCCTCACTAAGTGTTAAGGATATATTCCCTTCAAAGGCTTTCAACGCGGCTCTGCTGAACTCACACTTGATCTTTATTAAATCCTTCAGATGTTTCAGTGAGATCAACTTAATAATAAATTAAGGTTTAACTGTCTTGCAGACGAACTAGGGTAAATAATAAAGTCAGTTGGTTTTCCTTCTATTGGGGTAGTAACATCATTTTATTCTCCATAACATTACTGAGAATTCGACATCAATCATGGCTAGCAATCAGTAGTTATAAATACGATGAATAACTGCCTATTAAAGTACTGCCATATAACAGCTTTAAAGCTAGCAGCCCCACAAGTGTGTATACCATGCAGTGATTATTTGCACAATCAAGTATGCTAGGAGATATCTATATGAATAACTGCCCTCCTCAAGACTCAAAATGTTAATTGTTAAAATTTCTTTTGCAGCATGAACGGTAGAAGCACACAGCCATAATGCAATGTCTAGACTCTTATGATGCTGCGCATGGCAATATAACAACCGTACTGCTTGTTGTGTTCTTCTGAACTCAATAGCATTCATTCCAATATTCTCTCCGTGTCCTTAAGTTGAATATCAATTTTTCACATATATGGTTTTAATGAATTCACACGGAGACTAACTTGTTACCACTTTGTTTATCTGCATATGGACATCCCTCTTATGCCCTCTCAAATGAGGTGGCATTTTCAAAACATAACTAGGTATCCGACTCAAGAATAATTGGTATTCTTGGGATGTAGGGGCGGAAGTTTCGTTAGAATTAATATTGGAATAGGGAACGCAACCGAAAAATTCCGAATTTGGGGTTATTAATAGTTGAAAAAGTCTGGGCTGTAATTAGCCGTAACTTGTGCAAAATGGAACATGGTACTGGGGTATTCTTAGAACTTGCATTTAGACGGAGGTACTCGAGCAAACATATTTCTGGATATAAGGATAAAACTTTGGCACTGTGGTAGAGTATAACTTCATTATGGATCAGATTTTATTTTGAAAAGTCACACAGTGTTACACAGTAATATTAACTGATGACGTTTCGAGCACAAATTATTGCTCATAATCATATCAAGTTATTCACACAACTTTTTTCCTTCATTTATATACACGTGTGGAGTTGACTAGATATTTGAATAAAAATCAATGTAGGATAATGTACATTCAGAAATAATAATATAAGTGTTATTGATGAATTACAATTGGATGGGAAATGAGACGAGTGTTATTATAATTATAATAAGTTACTTGAGATCACCAATATCCCCTGTCGTAGCAGATATCTTTATGGACAGCTGAGAAAATACTGCTCCTAATACATTTAATCCTACTCCAAAAATCTGGTGGAGATATGTCGCTGGCACTTTCACAGTGTTAAAAACAGAACATATCTCTAGCTTCTTCACAAATATAAACTCACTAGAAGAGGGAATAAAATTCACATTTGAATCGGAAAATAAACGAGGAGTATTAACTATGTTGGATTGTAGAATAAAACGAATAGAAGAAGATAAACTACACACTGCCGTTTCTAAAAACCAACGCATTCTAATGGATATTTACACTTTAATTCATCTCATCGGTTAACTGTTAAGGCAGGCTTAGCTAAGTGTTTAACAAACCAAGCAGTAGCACGAAGTAGCACAAGAAAAGACCTAAATGATGAAATAAAACAGATAGAAGAGGCGTTGGTGTTGAATAACTATACCATAGAATTCATTAGGAAGATCGAAAAAGGCCAAAAGCAAAGTAAAAATAATTGTGAAACTAGTTATGATAACACATATAAGAGAGAATATAAGGTATCTACTGCTATACCATATAAGGAGGGGACATCTGAAACACTGCCTACGTAGGATTCTCAATAAAGCAGGAATCAGGGTGGCATTCAAACCTACAACCCCCTCAGCGACAAGCTTTGTAGGCTAAAAGACCTGGTGGACTCCATCTAACAAAATAATATAATTTAAAAAATACCTCGCAATGACTGTGAGGTCAATCATATAGGTCAGACTAGTAGATCGGGGGTAATCAGATTGTCGGAACATAAGAATTTAGCTACGACAAGAATGGTTGACCCTGAGAAGATAAGTAGTTTGGAAAAAAGCTCAGCAATTGCACTGCATGCAACAACACACAACCATACAATAGGGTGGGAGGGGGTTGAGATTCTAAGAAGTAATCTATGTAAGTGGAGAGAGAGGTCGATTACTGAATCCTCGTTCATTGAGTCTACACCCAACACATGCAACAGAAGTGACTCAATGCAAATACCAGAAATATGGAAGATATTAGTACCGCCAGTCAAATCAGAAGAGAACAATAAATAATCTCAAAATTCTATTTCAATTCAAGCACATCACAACATTCTTACAGGTAACTTATTATAATTATAATAACATTCGTCTCATTTCCCATCCAATTGTAATTCATCAATAACACTTATATTATTATTTCTGAATGTACATTATCTTACATTGATTTTTATTCAAATATCTAGTCAACTCCACACGTGTATATAAATGAAGGAAAAAAGTTGTGTGAATAACTTGATATGATTATGAGCAATAATTTGTGCTCGAAACGTCATCAGTTAATATTACTGTGTAACACTGTGTGACTTTTCAAAATAAAATCTGATCCATAATTGACATATTTCGTGATAATTTTGATGCGTATAATGTATGGTGGGTGTGAAGAGAGATAATATTTCACTCTGAGGTGATCCGAGTCCAACGATTTTAAACCACTGCATCATGCAGGCAAGGGTTAAGGGTCAGCAGATGGTGGAACCAAAGCTCACCTATGGCTTGATAGATGGTCAGACAACAATCTTGAGTGTTATTTCTGGTTGAAGCGAAATAGAAAAAGAGCTCGGAATCGTAACTAACTGACTTCTTACAAATTTTTGATTGAGTTCGTTAACACCTAGGCGAAATCATTATTATTATTATTGTATCCTTTAATTCCTAGAGGAACATAGGGCTTCAGCCGTGCGTCTCCATTGCGTTCGGTTCTCTGCTACAGTCTTCACCTGGCTCCATGTCTGCCCACACGTTTTCATTTCATCTTCACATGACCTCCCCCAAGTCACCCTTGGACGACCAACTCGCCGCTTCCCTTTCGGGTTCCACTCGAGCAATGGCTTGTCTAGTGATGTCACTTGATGGTTCCCTCAGAGTATGGCCAATCCATCTCCATTTCTTCCTGCCTATTTGTTTCACAATCGGTTCCTGGTTGGTTCGCTCATTGCCAGAGATCTCTGTTGCTGATCTTTTCTGACGGGCCATCTGATCTTGAGTATTGAGCGAAGACAACTGTTATTGAAGGTCTGTAGTTTGTTTGAGATGCTCTTTATGACGCACTGGCCAAGTCTCTGATCCGTATAGTAGCACTGACTGACTTCACATTGGAGTTGAAAATCCGGATGTTATTTCTGATGCTGAGTGCTGTTGACCTCCACACAGACTTGAGAGTAGTGAAAGCTTGTCTTGCTTTTCCTATTCTTGCTTTGATATCCTCACCAGTTCCGTCTGCCTGTAGTTGAAACGATGCTTCCCAGATAGGTTAAAGAGGTTGTTTCTTTCAGGTTCCTCCCATTTATGCTGACCGTTGTCTGTTGTTGTTCCTGTTGGTGTTGCCCAGAAATCTTCATCACCTCTGTTTTCTCTATGTTCACCTGAAGTCCTATCTTCTCCGGATGCTTCTTCTGCCAACTTGTTGCTTTTCACTTGCATATCTTCCAGTTTGTGGGAAATCAGACATATATCATCGGCGAAGTCCAGATCTTCCAAATTTTCTGTGAGTCCATTTTATGCCTGTTTCCTCATTCCCCGCTGTTTGTCGCATTATCCAATCTACTGCAATCAGGAAAATCATTGGCGATAGTAGGCAGCCTTGTCTTACTCCTGTCCTCACTTCGAAGGGTTCTGTAAGTTTCCCGTTGTGGATTACTTGACATGCAGCATTATCGTACAGCTGTTGGATGAGATGTATAATTGTCGGTGGCACCCCGTAGTAGCGAAGTAGTTGCCAAATCACCTCTCGATCGACGCTGTCCGCTGAAGGCCTTTTCAAAGTCGATGAAGTTGAGATAGAGAGGTGACTGCCATTCCAAGCTTTGTTCAATGATGATCCGTAATGTGGC